TTTAGATATAATAATATATATAGCAAACTAAATTAGAAATACTAAAAAAGAGTTAAAAAAGTAAGCTTTAAATATATTAATAATAAAATAATAATTAGAATATAGTAATATTATAAATTATAAGTTTATTGCATAATAATTAAATAATAATTAAATCATTATAAAATAAGTAAATAAGAATAATTCTTCTAGCATGAAAATTTTATTATAAATAGCTTAAGATTTCAGTTATTTAAAAAAAAACTTCATTTTTTAGTTTTATTAAAAAAAGAATTAAATTAATAAATAAATAAACTCTTTAAATATTTTTATTTTATTTTATCTTTTAAAAGTTAAATGTATATATTCTAAAATTTTTATTTATATATATTTTATTTTTTAATACATTTTGAATACAAAAATATTTATTTTAAACACTTTTTTTTTGAGATTCATTTATTTTATTTAAATAATTATTTTATTTGAATATATATGTATTATTATTTTAAAAATGCAGTTTATTTTTAATACATATTATTTTTTGAGTATGCATTGATTTTAAAGTATTATTAAATAAACTTTATTTTTGAATATAATTTTTTAAGTTTATTTTAAACATATTAACTTCTTTGTTAAAAGCTTTTACAATTAGAAAAGTTCTAATAATTTTGATTTAATGCTTAATTTATAAATAAATACTTGAAAGAATATTTGAGTAAGAACATATGTGATACTTTTTTTACAACTTTAATATATATTTTTTTCTTATTTTTCTATTCAAATTATTTTATTCATAATTATCAATGCTTAAGAATAGGATATAATATAATATTATTACATAAAACATATTTAGTATTATTAATACAATAATATGATTATATTTAACTGTATTTCCTAAATATATTTTATAACATATTTTATATATCTATTAAAAAATCCTATTAAATAAACAACCTCTCTTTAAAGAAAAACTTTTTAACATGAACAACTGTATCTTTTATATAAAAAGAAGAAAATTTTTGAGAAATATTTATTTTATTATTACCAATTGAAAAATTTGAATAATGTTAATTGTGATTAAATATTATTAGCATAAAAAGGTTTATAAATATTTGAGTTATATTCAGACAATTCTTTACATGAACAAACTTTCTAAAATACATGCACCATTATATTCTTCCTAAATGCATACTCTAATTTTGTCTCAAGCTTATATGATTTCTGAATTATTTTATTCTTTATAAATACATGTCCTCTCTATACAATAATGCATGATTGAAATTATGTCTGTGGTCCGACGGGTAAATTGTTTGTAGTATTTTTCAATAATATCAGGCATTTACTGATGACCATAACTCTTAAAAGAACAATATCACTATAAAACAAATTCTTTCGTTGTTACTTAGTTAATATTAATCATGAAAAGTTCATTAAACGAAAATTAGATGAGTGAAAATTGGTTTAATTTTTTAACTAAAAGATTATTTTCTTTTATCTCGCGTTTTTTATAACAATGACTATGCGCAGCAAATCTTAGGGCAGTGTGGCGTAGAAACAAATAAAAGCGCAATTTGGCGCAGAATAATATTTTTTCTCAATGAATGTTTATGCCACATATTTTTATTTTAATGATCACGTAAATAATACTAAGCCATTCATTTAAAATTTTTCACCAGCCACCTTGTTACTCACGAATGGTTAATTAACGTGTAGAAATTTTATTTGGCGAAAAAAAAAAAAATATTTGGTAGTAGTTTGGACCTTTTCAGAAACAATTCAAAAGTACGGCTATTTATTAGCGTAATGACTTTGTAATTATATTTTTTTTTTTAAAAAAAAAAAATAAAAATAAAAAGGAACGCAATTGCAAGCCACAATAAAACGTTTGTCCAGATCCATCCGTCATTATATCATGGGTTATACAGTAGATAATGTTGTAGAAAAATTCGTAACGTAATTATAGTTAGTGTATGTAATGTATATATTTTAACACAAAGAAAAGTTTCATTTATTTCCAAGTATCGGATATTTTTTTTATGTAAATGCATTGATATGTATGGAGATATTTGTTTCTTATCTTGCACAGGTAACCTGCATCTGATTTACGTAATAAATTTGGTATTGGTAGAATTAGATTATACTCCGCAATAGATGCAACTTTATGCAATGCAAAGCGAAATCCGGAATCCTGGTTTATAACCGCACCAAAACGAATTTAATTTTTATAACAAATATTGTATTCATATTCAGATTGTTCGATAAGAGAACTTTATGTTTTCAAAATTTTGGAATTCTTTAATTATTTTTGTTATTAAATTTCTTCTCATTATAATTATTATTTACAAAAGGAGATTAACATCATCATCAATCCTCAATTAAGTGAAAATAAGAAAAGGTTACAAAATATTGTTCATAAAGCCATTCAATTAAGACCCTACTATCTGTTTAAATGATTCAATAATAAGAATCCATTCACCCTTTTTTAAAAAAAAAGAGGAAATAAAAGTTTTTGTTTGTTTTTTTTTCGTAAATTAAAATTCTCGTTCGGAAAATATTTTCAACGTAAAAAAAAAAAAAAAAAAAAAAAAAAAAAAGAAAAAAAAATTAAAACTATTATACATATTAATTATTATTATACATCAACGATACGTCCGTCATAATCCATGATGACCTTAAATTGCGAATCCCAAAATTTCAATATCATACAAAAAAAAAAAAAAATTCTTCACTTTCTTATTACTGTTTTTTTTTTTCCACCATCCGACAAAACCCATCATTATCTTCTTCGATAAGCATAGTCAGTACTCATTTGTAAAGTTCTAAATAGCCTTTCCAATCTCTCGTTATAATCATATCTCCCATAATCATGTTGCTTAATGTATTCCTTATTTTCAATTTTCAACATATTAATTTCTTTTTGTTTTTGTTTTATCCAATTTTCTTTCTTTGTTATTGATAATTTGTTGTATTCTTTTTTTGTTTGTTTTACTTGTTTCATTAAAAACAGTTGCGGTCGTTGCGCATTTGGTGGCAGTGGAACTATGCATGTTAATAACTTTTCAGAGATCTCCCATTCTTTAATTAATGTATCACGGCTGTGATCAAAAAAAGGAAAGAAAGAGATTAGTTAAAAGAAAAGTGATTTTAAAAAATTAATAAATAAATTGAATCCTTACCTAACGGTTCTTTGAGCCAAACAACGTTGACAACAATACATTTTGAATTCCCAATACATTGATAGTTTCCGTTTATCTCTTTCCTCACAAAACATACATTTATTTAACAAAAGCATCAACCATACATACTTTTGTTCACTCATTCCATCGGGACATGGAAGTACCAAATGTGGAATAAAATTTAATCGCGAAGTACGCCAAATCAATTGTGTTGATTCATTTGTTTTATTCCACAGCAGATTTCGAAATCGCTTGCACACCAAGGTTAAATTGTATAGATCAGAAGGGTGTAAATAACTGCATATTTCTATTAATATTTCATTAGGCAACGTTGTTGCCAATATTATTTGATGTTTTTTTTGGGGAAAGAGAAAGGAGGAAGCTGATGATGATGAGAAACGACGAGATGTTCTTGGTGTGGTTGATGCTGAGTTTGGAGGAGGTCTTGCAACTTTTTTTGGGAGGGGAATTATACGTTGAAGAAAAAACGTTATGAACGCCACGGTTGATAATGTGTAAAAAGAAAAAAAGGGAAAAGGGGGTATTTGCTCTTTCAAAAAAAAAAAAAATATTCAAGAGTAATCTTTTAGTAAAATAATATTATGAAAAGAAAATGATGATGGATATATATATATTTTGATCTTGAACAATGAGTCTTTGAAACCAAAAATATAAGTGAAAGAAACAAAGAGAAAATATATTCAATTAACAAAGAATAGAGGTTACGAATTATAATTGTTTTTGTCAAAAAAAAAAAAATAAAAACTTGTGACAAGTTTTTATATATTGCGGTTTAAGAAAAGGTGATTTTTTCAAAAAATGTATAAAAAAAAATTTTTTAGAATAAAATCGTTTTATATTTATATTTGTAAATGATTTGAGTAGGTTTTTTTTTTTTTTTTTTTTTTATTTATATTGTATTTTTGGTTTTTTAAGGCTCAAAAAACTTCAAAAAAAAAAAAAGAATGAAGGCTTTACCAAGAACGGAACGATGATCAAAAATCTGATTTCGTTCTTTTCCATTTATAGCCATATTGCGGCTAACAACCAAAAAAAAAAAAAAAAAAAAAAAAAAAAAAAAAAGAAAAAAAAAAACTAGTTTAAATATAAAAAAAATTTTTTTTTCTTGCTTGCATATATTATAAAATACTTCTTTTTTGTAGTTTACTTACCAACAAGTAAGAGATATTATTCGATATTTATGGTATTAGAATACATAAAGGATGAGTACTACTTACCTACCTATGAAGAAGGGCGTAGTATAAAAAATTATTTCCGAGAGGCAATAAAAAGTTTTTTATTTTATCCGTTTTAATTTAAAAAATTGTAATCCAAAGTTATTTGTTAGGAAACCTCTTCCCATTTTTTTTTTTTTTTTTGAGCGGAGATTTGTTTGTTGTATTTATTTTATAATATCCCCGAGTTTTTTTTTTTTTTTTTTTTTGTGGTTCCTTGTTCACTATACAAACGTCTGACCCTTAAATTATAAATCAACTAAAACTGTTTAAAACGATCAAATGGCATTACATTTTTATAAACAAGGAAACCTAAAAAAGTAAATATGTATAATGAGCATACTGTACAAAAAGCCTTCGATACATTTTACTTTGCCTTTCATATAAAACGTCATTGTACAGGTACCTCATAATATAATTAATAGTAAATCATAAGTTAATCATGAGTTAAATTAACCTAGGTGATTTCTATTTAAATACGACCTCACACTTTAACCAACCAATTTTTTTTTTTTATTTTATTTTAATGTGTGCTGTACTTCAATTGTTCAGTCATGCAGATCATGCAAGGTTATACATCTGCAACTGTTGTAGCCGCATTCAAAGGTGTTTAGGAAAGGACCCAAATTTCGGCTTTGCTAGTGGTTGATCTTCGAATCTTCTTGAGTGGTGGTCCTTGGTCGCCAAGGATGAGTCTATAGATTTCGTCAAATGAGTTGAGGTCGTCATAAGAAATCATCCTTACCCTGCATATTAAGTTTAATTAGTTTAATTTAAACATTCATTAATGCACGAATGATGATTGGTTAATTTAATGCAACAATGAAAAAAAAAAAAAAAAAAGATCTAGAGTATAATACACATAATACATTTAAGGAAATTCACAAAAAAAAACAATTGATTAGGGTGAGGGGTTAAAAAAAAAATCAACAGGATAAAATCAAGATAGTAATAATTTAGAATGAAAGCTTGTGACTTCCAAATTAAATGAGGCTGGTTTTTTTTTTATTTTAATTTTTTTTTTTCTCGATGCATCTTTTAATTTCTTCTCACGCAATGTAGCCTGAAAGTCGCATTTACATACGAGCTAAACTATAATTGTTCATATTAAAAAAAAACCTTTAGATCATTTTTTCAAACTATATAACAACCCCATACTAAATTCGAATTATTGACCTTCCAAAAATGAAATCATCATCTAGATGATCCCGTCTACCTGGATTTTGGTCCCTAAAATTTTAATTTTAGCTGCATTGTTTATGTGTGGGGGAGGGACAAATCATACTGAGTTTCTGCTTTCATGTTTTTGAGGTTTATACATAAAATAAGATTGGTACGTTCAAGCGTGCTAAACCACTTTGGTTTACGAGATTTTTTCCCTCCAAAAAATTCAGGCTTTGGAATTTTCGAATCGGTGTATGTTTTCCTCATTTTAACTCGGTAGTGAAATTTTTTACATATGATCTCCGATTTAATCTACCATTTTGGAAAACGTTCACCAATTTACCTTTCCTAATCACGGTTAATCATGACATCACTATGATGATGAATGACTCAATCAATCGATAAATCGTAATGGAACATCATTGAGTCACTTAATTCCGAACTCCGATACAACCAGGAAATATCACAAGTATTTGTTCTCTTTTTTTTTTTTTCATGTTTGGATAGGTACAAAGCCACCGCATACCAATGGAAGCCACGCATGCTCTGAGCATTTTAACTAAGCCAAATGATTTTGAAAACCCGACCCAAAAACTTGATAAAAACATGGAATAATTTAATCCCAGCTCGGAAGCATTTTCGGTTTGTATGATTATGTCGATTTATTTTTTTTAAAAAAAAACGCGTGTCTAGATCGATCTCGATCATGACATTTAAATCATCAAATAATGAACCAACACATTTTCCAAATTTAGTTATTTATTTTCACCTTTTAAATCTCTTTTGATGAAAAGTCTTAGATGGTCTAGGCGAAAAATAGCTTATTATTTATCTCTCTCAATAGAATCTTTTGACATCAGATTTTGACCTCTGAGATAAATAAACAATAAGCCATGATCTTTTTTATAACCAAGCCATTTGTGAAATTATTGGAAACTAAGCCATTTAAAAACCTTTCAGATTTGGGCAACGGCTACTTGATAAAAATCCCGATGGTCCAGGAAATTAATTTTCGATCAAAATTTTGCCATGATATTTTGCTTAGAAACGATGCCTTACAAATTGCATTGTTATAATCTCGATCATGTTTATATAATAATAATAAAATATGTAATAATTATAATAATAATAATAAGCCACTCGTAACTTGCATGGTCCTCTTGTTTTTGTTTTTTTTTCCAAGCCACGATTGGTTCCTTCGCAACACAAGTTTGTTGAGAACTTCTTTTTTTCGATTGATCTCGATCATTTTATCTGTTTCATGATGTGATAACTATACCATTCACATATAAAATTTGCTTAGATGGCTCGTGAGAAACTGATAGTGAGGCTTAGATAAAATAAACACGGTATCTTGTTCAGGATTATGAATGCTGCGACAAGCCGCAAAAGAGCAAGCCTTGAATCCATCAAGTATCATGGTGCGTATAATTTGTCACAAATCAAGAATCTTTTTTAGAGCCACTTCCTCTTTGATAATACTCATACAATGCACTGCGCCACTAAAACTAATGAGGCTCGTTAACATTTTCCATGCGCCCTCGTGGCTTATTATTTATATTTTTTTTTTTTGCGACTGTGATTTTGACAATGTCCCGCCGAGCCAATCCGAATTAATGAGAAACTTGTTCGAAAAATTCATCCAAGCCATGCCATCTAAGCCTTTGTATTTTTTTTTTAAATTTTTAATTTTTGTTTTTTTTTTTTGTTTTTTTTTTTTTTTTTGTAAAAAAAAGTGATTATTTAGCGATCGAAATATTTGGATTATATTCAATTAAATGTAATCGAATGACAAATAAATATTAGATTTTTTTTTTTGATTTGTCAGTTTATGATGGTTTGTGATTATTACATCATTATTTAAACAACATCAGTGAACCTTCTAAAAAAGGAATTTGAACAATTTTTAATGGTGTCGTAAATCCCTTTCTGACGAAAACATTTATCCTTATTTCCTTATTTATTCGAGGCGAATCATCTTTTTCATATGGGTTTATTTTTTCAATTTATTGCCCAAGAACCTTAAAGTTTGCGGCTTGCGCATTTTCAAATAGAACGTGCGTCTTTAACATTTCTATTATGTTATTTCGCTTAAAATATCATTTACTGCGCAGAATCTTGAGCGTTTCGGGATTTGGTTGAGTTGATCAAATGACCTTACGTTATATACATTTGGACCCAAGGGAGAACTACTGGAAAACCAAAAAAACGAGTTAATGCTGAATTCGGGTGTGTTTCAGCCCGAAAAAAAAACCCCCCACCTCTCATATTTTTTTGATTCTTCCGGCAGTTTCCTCCCTTTCTTTTCAAGGGCTCATATATTCTATAAAATTCCAATAATAACATCAATACTGAAAAGAATAGGATAAATAATTGTGGTAACTTTAAATTAATTAAGTACAAATTAAAAATCGTTCATATCATATTGTATTTGGCAAACAATCTTTTTCTCTCCAAGTTAACGTTACCTAATAAATATTTAAAAAGCCAATCGACGTGAAGTTTTCCTATTCCGAATATAATTTCACTTTTTAATCTATCCTTTTTGTCACCATTAGGGTCAAAAAAAAAAAAAACTTTAATTTTTCCCAAAACGAACTGATAAAATAACGTACATTGTCATAAAAGGTTATGTGGCTGAGCATTGATGGCCTGCGTCGCGCTATGTTATTTTGATTAAATAATGTTACAATTGGTTTAATCATAAATCATTGGATATCTTAATTTATTCAATTGAATTTTTCTAATGGATCTGTTTTATAAATCTGGCTAGAGCGTTGAAATTAAAGAAATTGATGTAACCATAAAGTTATTAGTGCGAGAGGGCGCAAATCGGGCAAGCGAATCGAAAAAGCATTTTCGTTAAGCTAAATAGAAGAAATCTAGACAAGAAGTTCCAAGACGTTCCCTTTATCACTTGACTAAGTGCCCAAATCATTTTAGTCGTAACTAAATAAAAAATAAAAATAAATGTCTGGTAATTTAATGTGCATGTGCATCTGATGCCCGCTTAAACTCTTTTAACAAAAAAAGAAAAAAAAAATGACGCCTAATCTAATTTCGGTTACGTCTACGCCTAAACTTTAAGTTTCGGCTGACACCTTATAGTAATGCATTGACTTCTTTTTCGGTGTGTCAGAAGTAAGTTTAGGTTAACCTTACTAAAAAAAGGTTGTTTCATGTCCAATTTTAATAATAAATATTACAATATCACACAAAAAAAGAAAGAATCAACTCTTAGATATGGCGTAAAGTTAAAATTTCAAAAAGATGTATATACCTCCGAATGTTTCAAGATTCCCGGTGGGAATAATTCAGGAAAAAAAAAAAATGAATTATCTACGGTGGGTCTACGGTGGGTAATAAATAATTTAAACAAATGAAGTTCATTGGTAAATGCGCCCAAGAAACAACCGAATGTTCAGATATTAGAGTGGATTCCTTTAAAATATAGTAGGTTTTGAAAGTCTTTGATAAAGGAGGTTTATTTTTTTTTTTTAATTAACTACATACAAGGAAGGTTACTTGGTTTGATGGACGTATCAAAGAATGGTCTAGAAATAAAAAAAGTTAAGTGATTAGATTATAAATCTTTTGTTTTTTATTAGGTAAGATCAACTATGCAAAAGAAGATATTAGTGATTTAGGATTATGTAAACGCGAAATATTCTTTTCTATCAATTTTGTAGCACAAAGTTTTTGTGAACGATATAAATTAAATAAATTATAAATAAGGAACATGGTAAATAAAACAAAATTTAAATATTTTTTAAACCATATATATCGGATTACGTTACTTTATTAATATTTAACTAGAAAGAATGTCGAATTATATTTTGTTTCGAGCTAGCCTTTAAACATGAATAATTTATGCATAAACTAGTAAATTAAATGAACACTTTAAAATTATGGGATCATTAAAAAAGACATATATTGAAAGAATTATTCTTTCAGCCTAATAGAAATAATTGGTTGACTAAAGAGGACTGATTAAGTTGTCATACGATAAATTTTCACTCAATAATCCGAACTTGTCAGATTGTTTGATCGATGAGCCTGATCCCGTCATCATTTGCATCGTTAACATCGTTTGGAACGATTGTTTTTGTCCAAGCATTAAATGTTTTTTGTCAAGACTTGTTCATCATTTCAACGATTACCGTCTTGAGCTGCTAAAAAATTATCGGAATGCTATCCGCTTCGAAAGAGATGTATTACCAAACATCAAATCATTTTGTTTTCTCATCTTTGCATGCTTTGTCAGTTGTGACCATGTTTATCCAATCTCCGCAAAACAATTTGTTAACGCTGATAATCAAAAAATACGGCATTCGCCATTGATGATTATAATGTGACCAAACTGATGAAAGACAAAATTTATTAGCATTTGATATTGTTCTTTCGGTAAGACCAAACCGATCATCAATAGGCATTGTATCAATAGCCTATCGTTTTAAAATCATTTATTTTAATTAATCAAGAAGATAAACATTTCATGCTTACGTTATACCATCAAACTTGTAAATAAATGTCGAGAGAAACAAAAAAAAAAAAATTAATAAAATGAAATGATATGCGCCGAATTCAGTATCGTCGTATCACACCAACAAAAACGATTTGAACATCGGTGCGTATAATATTGTTGAGCAATCGGCCTCCATGTCAAGTCAATGCTATTCAAAGTAAGCATCGTCTTATTTTTACCAGTATATGACGATTGCAACTTCCCCAGATATTGCATGATACAGTAGGATTGAGACCATGAGGTAGTATTAGATATTTTTAAAAAAACAATTAAACCTAGATAGAGAATAAGTTTAATAGTCTCTTGGAATAGTCATTGTTGTAGTATATAATCAATGCCATTTATAGGTAACAAGACTTCTTGACGCGGTAAGCGTGCGGCGCAGCTATAAATCCTTTGATGAATCGCAACGTTTTCAATTACTTGATTCAATCTTTCAATTATTATGCATATAAATGCGAAACATGATGTAAGGATTATATATAAAAGACCTTTTATTTCAAATAGAGTTAAATTTGAAAAAAAAATTTTTTATTTAGCAAATAAATAATTCTCTTTTAAGATATAATACTACCAAATTCGTTTTTTTCAATGAACCGTTCTTTCTCGAGATTTGCCTTCACGATTGTCTCATGAATAATCTGTTATCCTGATGTTTATTTGATTTCGGAGATATGACAACTGCGTTAGTTTCGTTGATCCTAAATTAATAGAATAAAGATTGACGACGACGAGAGTGATGGTTGAATAAATCAGTTATGTTACACGAAACACATTCGCACTCGACAACCAACTTATTTCCAAAATTTTCGTAAGGAAACCAAACCCTTTAAAATACGCCAAAGCCGAAATCTGTTTCTAAAATTATGTCTACGTCCTCTTTTTGAATAAGTGCCATGATATCATCCTGCACTCGGCAAGCAAGTCACGGAGGTTTCGAGATAGAGGATATCAAGGATAATTATTATAGGGGCTCTAAGGTCATCCGAAAGAAAGTAGGTGTGTACACGTTTAATTATATCTTTTCGTTTCGTTGCATATGAAAAAGTCTGTGTTGACATTGTTCATTTGGCCGGAGGCGTTTGACCTAATGTAAAAGATCCAATATAAGTATGCGCATATGCCAAATAATGATTTTAAATGTCGCACAACGTTTTCATCATATTCAAGTTTCTGGCAAAATGGTCGATATTTTCGCTTGAACTTCTCTTAATAGAATGCTCTCGCAGTAGGTTGAGGATTAAGCTAGAGTGTTTATAAATTAAATGAATAGATAATAAGATTCTAATTATACTATTAATTTCCATAGACTGGCTGGGCAGGGACAACAAACTTAGTTTTTAAAAGATTGAAAAACCGAGGTTGAACTGTTTTGTGCACGTCTTGAACGTTTTTACATGTAAAATATCATTAAGTCTGTTGACAATAACTTGAAGATATGAGCCGAATACATTTTATTGAATTGTTGAGGATAAAAATTTGAATATTTCTTGTTTTACGCACTAAGCGTACTTGAATAAACTTTTTTAGAGCCTGAAACAATGTCAATAGTTCATTCACCATGTGTGAATATCAAATCTTTATATTTCAACGAACAACCTATTCAACATAAGAGAAAGTCTTTGTGAAAAGGTTTATTTGAAGTCAAGTAATTATAAGAGTTAATTTATATGATGTAAGCTGTTCTAAATTTCGGAATCATAACAATTCAAATAAGCGTGTGCAAAGATACTAAGGCAACCCAATCGAAAACTAATTGAGATAATGCATGGTATGCATTAAACAAAATTGTTCCGTTATTAACTAAACTCATTTTATGAAATGATTGTGGCAAGTGACAATGCACTAACTGGACTTATAACATTATTGTAATGTCGGGCTTATAAACTTTTAAAAGTATTATTTAAAACCAAATAACTAGACTTATAAAAGGTGTCAGCGAAAAGTCTTTGAAAGTTCTAGAAAATTGCGAAACAAGATGCGTAATTTGTATTAGTTGTTAGCCTGAACTATTGAAATGGTCGAGAAACATGTTTTGTAAGGATAAAATCAAATATACCGCGTGAGTCATAACTGAGTTATGGATGTAGGCATATGTACTTTTAACTATTAATACTTACAAAATTGTCTGGATTGTATGTATGGCTTGCATATTATTATTCTAATTCATTTTTAAGGTAGGTTGATTATATGGGATCGTTTTCAGTAAAGTCATGTCATGAAATATAATAAATCCGTAAAGCGATTTTACTGGCAACGTTCCTATATTTAGGGTAAGTGGCTAGAAGGAATCAAATATAAAATTTTAATTTTAATTAAAACATTATATTTAAAAAGAAATTTCTTTTTTACAATTTGATCCCTTTCTTAGCACTCATCCTATATTATAGAATGTTTGCTAAGAAAATGTAATATTGAAATTTTTGATTTATATTAATATATAAAATTTTATAGAATTTTAACTTATATCAAAATAATGAATAATTAATTAACATTTGAAATTTTTATAAAAAGATATATTCTGAAAATAATAAATGATTGATTTACTATTTAGAAAATGATCAATATAATTAACTTTGCAAACTACTAAAAAAAGTCAATTTACTTTTATTTATAATAAGAATGACTTTAAACCAAAATATATTTAGATTAATTATTAATTCCCTTATTTTATTGTAAAGATTTATCTTAATAAATTAAAAATAATGATATTTATTATTTAATATTTTAAAAAATAAAGAAAGATTTTAAATTATATATATTAATATTAATCATTTATCATTAGTATCATATAGTTTATATGTTATATTTATTATATTATATTATTATAATATATAATTATAATATTATGTACAGGAAAATATATACACTATTCTCAAGAAAGTATCTAAGCACAGTTTTTTTATGAATTAAGGCTTAAATTTATATGATATAAAATTATTATTTATATGATTATATAATACATGTTTAGTGTATTAATCGAATATATTTTATTTTGTTTGAAACTACTTTATGTATCATGCATTTATAAATAAATAAAACTAGTTTCAATTAAAAATAATCTTAAAATGTAATAAATTTCATATTTTATAAATTAATTTAATATACATGATTTAATTTTAATCAAGCATATTTTGATAGAAAATTTTCAATGATATGAGTATGATAGTTTAATTTATTTCTATAATTAGTATCTTATTGTCTGAAGTAAAGTATAGAATATTATACTTTTAGGAAATGTAAAAAATTTAATCACATAAATATTTTCATTTGTCATGTTGTGTATATGATAAGATCAGTAAATAAAAAAATAAAAACAAAATATTAAAAATAAAAATTTATTTATATTTATTGATTTAAATAAAAAATTTCACTCTGAACTTAAATGGTTTCTATTATCTAGTAAGATATTTACATTTATATATTCTAATATTAATCAAAGTCAAAGATTGTATTTTATTATTTTATAAAAAAATTTCTTAATGTATTTTATCAAAAATTTAAAGAATAATATTTTAGATAAAATAGAGAAAATTATTAATAAAATTGTTGATTCAAAATTTATTAAATTTAAAAAATAATAAATTTTTTGGTATCTAGATACTTTTTCAGAGTAAATAGTTAAAATTTATATATTAGAAATTTTATTAATTCTTAAATAATTAGTTATTATTATCTTTAATAATTTTTTTTAATTATATATATTTTGATTTTTTTCTTTTATTTATCATTATTTTTATTAATAAATTATATTAATATAATATTATATAAGTTAATTATAAATCTTTTAACTAATACCTAATCCTAATCCTAATACTACCTAGTGTTGGCATATGACATAATTTTTAAGTCATAAAGTCATAAGTCATATGACTATATTGTCATAAGAAATCACATGACTTATCTAATTTCAGCCAGCTTTATAAATGATAGTCATAAATTAAATGTGTCTAAATTAATTAATGACAAATGATATATAAAAGTCATATAAGTCGTATGATGTCATATGCCAACACTGATAATATACCAGCTAAACATAGCGTGGAAGGTCAAAATCATATTTTAAAATATATATATAAAGAAAGATAATAAATGAATAGATTTGAATATTCACAAAATAATAGTAAGTACTAACAGAACAGAATAAAATAATTTATTGATTTATTCATAAAAATGCACAATTATCCGAAGGAGTAATATATGTGAACGGATAATGTGATAATAATTGTTTGGTTGGTCTCATCACTATTAGTTCATTTTTCAGAATGAATTATTAAGTTATGTGATTGGAAAACTGGCCATTGATATTTGTGTTTATGATTCGCAATTTACATCATTCCACAAATTAACGTACGTTAATTTAAAATCTTGATTAAAAAGAGAAAACGGATCGACATTTGTAAAAATGCAACATATCATTTGGGGCACAGTATAGTCTAGTCATTTCAAAAAAAAAAAATGACATCTTTCGGATTTGTTTGATGATATGTCAAATACGCAATGCATCTTAACGTATTTTAAATATTTAATTTTGACTAATGTTTGAATAAAAGAGAACTTTTATAATGATTCCTCTTTATTTATTTCCTTTTTTAGTGTCAGTCCAAGACTTCATTGACATGCGGTTAAAGAAGGCTTTGAGCGATCTGTTACGCTTAATGATTGGATGGGTATTCTTCTTTTTGTCCGGACAGTTACAAAATATATTGTAAAGCATGTTGGAAAGCATGAAAAAATTTCTCATGATGTCGAAAATTGGTCTTCCAAAAGACTTTGCTTGACTCGATTCGAGTTGAGTTTAACTTGAAAAAATGTTTATGACCAATGAAAAGATTTTGACACAGTAATAAATAATATATATATAAAAAAAGTGTTAAATCGTATTCACCGGTAAAGTATTCAAATATAACTAACGATCCACATGTGAAAACAATCCTTGTTCATTCTAATAAATTGATTGTGATAGAAATGATCATCACATTATTTTTGATAAAAGACGGTGAGTAAACTTTGTTAAAGGAAAAAAAAATTTTTTTCTATACTAATCATGTCAAGAAATTATTCAATATTTATTGTATTATGGATTTTAGTCCAATTATTAGTTAAAGTCGATTGCCAAACAGAAACTTTTATACCAATACAACGAATTCTTCATACTGCTACATTTATTGATAAATTATACATTTTAGGTGGTTATAACGTAACTCAATCTGATGATGGTGGTGAAATTATTGGAAAACAATTTTTTGTGAATGACACTTCAGTTACATTTGAGTTTCCTCAATGGAAAGATTTGACAAACATTAATATAATCCCGGCACACGCTGGCGCTGCGTCAGTTAAAGGCGTAGATAATAAAACATTGATTTTATATGGAGGGAGAACTTTCGAAAAAAATGAGAATATGAATTCAGTTTATATGTTTGATACATTAAATAATACATGGAGTACATACGAAGAAACTTATCCTCATAAGAGAAGTTTATCAGCTTTAATTGATTCTAATGGAAAAATGTATTTATTTGGTGGACGGGAGAATAATGGTGAAATTGTAAACAAAATGCTTATTTTGGATACCGTTAATTTGTCTTGGAGTGAAGGAAGTTCACTAAATGCACCTTGTGCAAGAATTAATTATGGTGCAATTATTTTACCTAATCAAAGTATTGTTTATTTAGGTAAGCAACTAATTCCCATC